GAAATTCTGGAGAGCTGCCGAATTGTAGTGGGCTACCGGGAGATTCCAGCCCTCATCATCATACAACTTCGCGTGGGTCGTGGCTTAGGAGTGTACAACCGAACGAGCAGCTTCTGCTGCAGAAGACGCTTTAAGCGTTAAGGAAGAAACTGGCTCAGGAAAATGCACTGTTGAATGCAAGATTTCACTGACGCTTCTTCCTTTTTTTCGCCCGCACCAACTGCCATTTTCTCAGGCTTTTGTTCCCTTGTTTCCAGGCGTTTTCAAGTCCTCTTGGCATAATCGTTTTTATTGCATCCTTCTACTTAAAACGTAGTAGCACAGCCGGTTCGCTAAATTCATCTGCTCACCGTTGTGCTTTCAACGTAATCGTTTCAGTGGTGCGTAATGGCGGTGGGACCATGGTGGCTGCGCAGCAGCATTAGCACCATCTACTAGATCACACACTGTTCAATACCATGTTATTATAGTTTTAAAAAGGATGCTTCTATTTGTTCCGGTCTGACTTCGCGTGTGTCACACGAATGTGAGCATTCGCATTCTGCACTTTAATAGCTGATTAACTACTTGTTGAAACATCCATAAACTGATTTTAGTACACACTAAACAGCACACGTGGGACCTGTAGTTTACTTTTCAAACTAGTTTTAAGTTTCGAGCATTCCCCAAACGCACGCACGCATAAGAAGTGCAGCAGTGCAATGCCGCTCAATAGGAGGGGCCTTTACTTGGAAAGTTCATGTTTCGGCAGAATTTACATGCATCGAAGGCACGCCGAAAACGTCTTGCTTCTGTCAGCTGTCAAGATTTCCTTGGAGTTTTCTCCGTCAGCACTAACGAAATAGAACCAGGAACCGGTAAACCTGGCAAGGGAAAAAGACTACACAACGTTTCTGGTCTCCTTTCCCCATTCTTTGACTCCACACTCAATGCACACATGCTTTTTCGAGCCTGCTTTTACTGTTTCTCCTGCGGCAACGCTTAAAGCGTAGCGCGCGCGTGCAAAAATTGAGCGGAAATGAGTCTGGACGTGCAGTTGCACACTCACACGCTACGCCTCGGAGCGAACATCGAGGCCGTAGAACGAAGTCATCTGTGTGTGTAGGAACACAGATACTGGGCATCCGACAGTGGATCAGTGATCTGACACACTGGACAAAATTTAAATCAATACATCTAGGCCTTATGCTTGACAGGAAAAACAAAAATAAAGGCTCATTTGAGGTAACAACGGCAACCAAGTCAAAAAATATAAAATAGCAGGCCGAAGCAACGGAAAAAAGGCATCAACTGGCATAGCTGGATTTTTAGACACGTTTAGGCAAAAGATAATTGGGGAAATGAACCAAAATGAAGGACAATAGCGTTAAGATGCATACATGTGCTCGTCGTCATCCTGAGCATGCAAGGTTGCGCAAACTGACGTCGCCACTGTTGAATTCAAATAAACACATACCAAGCAGATGCATAGATAACAATACTGATAAATAGGGAAACAGACTTTTAGGCAAATAATTAATGGAAAGAAATTTGACACAACGAACTACACTATGAGGCAAATAGACATCAGTAAAACAAAGTAAAGAACACACGAGAAGAGAAAGGCTGATTAGACTGAAAACAACCTAGGCAACTGCTGCACGAATGAAGAGCAAAATGAAAGCAGTCTGAAACGAGAATACGCGCGCAGCTGGAGTACGGAAGAGGAAAGTGGCGTAGGTCAACTGAAGCCTGCAACATTAGCATGGACCAAATATGTAAGGATGGCAGGGGTTTGGATAGAAAGAGAAGACCTTTGCATAATGCATCGAAAAGTTGTTGCTTCATACACTAAAAGCGTGTCATCTTGTTAATACAATGGCCAAAGCGGATCATGTGCACTCATGAGGATGGACTAGACATACACAGAGGCCTTTGGTGGTTGC